AGAAGGTTTTGAGAGTGATTTTTTGAGTGATGGAGCTCCTTTTATAAATTATGTCCATCAGTAATTTATATAGTGCAGGTTTATACTGACCTTTTTGGCTCATTGTAAAAATCTCAGTAATAACAGTGTTAAATAATCAAATGAAAATGCTTCTTTATTGAGGCGAACTTAGGACCTCATGGTCCTTTCTTACAGTTAACCTCTAATAAACTAATAATAACAACAAAATAATAACAAAAATACAATAAAGTTTGTAACATAACTAGTAATAAAATAGCATGAATCTATTCATCTTCCCTAACATACAGTCACACACACATACACCCTCTGCTGCATCTAGACCTAACGCACGCCATCCGGTCAAGGTAATATTCTTTCAGCGCCACCATCAGTCGGGATCGGTTTTCTATAGATTTGATGGGTAGAGGCATGGAGTTCCATAGGCGGCATGCTGTTACTAAAAATAAAAATGATTTATTATAAACAGTTGTTCTGTGATGAGGAATGTGAAGCGTGGACGAGCCAGAGTGGGTATCCCTTGCGCCTCTTCCATTCAAAAATTTAAAATTCTTTGCAAGATATTTTGGAATTCTAAGATTGATGGCTGAATGAGTAATGGAAAGTATTCGTATTTTTCTGACGTCCTCTAATTTAAAAATTGAGCCTAAGATTGAACAAGAATCAAACACAATAATTTTGTACACGTTGTAATTTTGTTGCCAAAGCCAAAGTCATATCATTAATCACAGTGTTGCAGTAGTGCAAACACTTTTTTAAAGTGCTTAACACCGCGTCAGTCCAGTCCAATGTGCGGTTTAGAGTCAAACCAAGACTTTTAGCGAATTTCCCTATAGGGAAGTAGCTATTACCGTAGGTCTCATGGTAAGACCTAAGCCCGGGACCGATTTACTTTTTCCTTTTGATGTCCCCAGAGGCCAAAAACACCATTCGTTCAAATTTTTATATATATATATATATATATATGTGTCCATCCGCACGATAACTTGAGTAATTTTTGTCCGATTTTGATAACATTTGGTTTGAAGGTGTAAGGCGGGATAAACTTGAATGAGTTCGCGAACCAGCATGATCGGACTATGGGAACGGGGGTTTATGGGGGGTTTTATGGGGTAAAAATAGGGTTTTCCCATTTTTGACCCTAAAAACACAAAATTTCACAATTTCTTTTTTAACCATTTTGTAGAGCTTAAAAAAACAAATAATTTAGTATATTGAAGCGTTATTATGCGCCTAATTGTTACGGAGAAAATTCAAAAAAATTGTAATTTTGAAATTCCCATGTTATTCTAATGGAGAATAAGTCAACTGTTGTTGTTTGCTTGTTTATGAACATATTTTGATCAAATTTGGAAAATACATTAATTTCTTACTAAACCACAGTACCTTTTAATATTTTACATTTAAAAAAAACTTTTTACCCTCCCTGTTGCAGCAAACCTAGTACTCATTAAACTAACTCTGTTTAAATTGGGAATAAATGTGATATTTTTAAGGAGACATTTTAGTTTAAATATAATCAGGCAAATGGAAATTCGCTAAGTCTGCAGGTTTGCTGCGGCGGGGGTATTTACTTTGTCCTGGTATTCCGTGGTGGTTCTGTTTACAGTGATTTTTGGTAAATAGTCTAAGTCCACTTTGTTGAGTAACCGTGAGTGACCTATGATGATTGGCTTTGTTTTGTCAGGATTGAGTCTAAGTCCGTTCTTTTCTGCCCATTGAACAATTCTGTTGATGTTGTGATTCATCATGTTTATAGTTTCATTTGCATCGCTCACTTTAAAATGAGAATAGATTTGCAAGTCATCAGCGTACAAATGAAACTTTGCGTGGTGTAGAACTGTACTGATGTCATTGATGTAAATGGTAAAAAGCAGAGGACCAAGAATTGAACCCTGGGGAACTCCGCAGGGAACATGTCTCCAGTCGGACGTCAAGTTGTCATGAGAAACACACTGCTTTCGGCTCTGAAGATATGATCTCATCCATTTTAGTGAATTATCAGAGAAACCTAACAGTTTGAGTTTGGCTAGAAGAATGCTATGGTTTACGGTGTCGAAGGCTTTACTAAAGTCAAATAATGTTAAGATAGTACATTGGCTACGATCCATAGCAAATCGTATGTCATCAGTTACATGAAGCATTGCCGTTTCAGTACTGTAAGATTTACGAAAACCTGATTGAAAGCTATTGAGGATGTTGTTTTGTACCAAGAAGTCAGAAACTTGGGAGTGAATGACTCTTTCTAGTGCCTTAGAAAGAGCGGGAAGAATGCTAATTGGTCTGTAGTCTTGCGGAAGCGATGGGGATGAGTTTTTATTCAAATGACGGACTAGCGCAGACTTCCACTTTTCTGGGAAAATACCTGATCTTAGTGAAGTATTAAATATGAAAGTTAATGTTGGGAGGAGACAGGAGAGCAAACAAGATACGTTTAATTAAAGAAATTGGGATTCTGTCAGAACCAGTGGCGTCAGACGTAACCGCCTTATAGCCTTCTAAACATCGATTTGCAATATTGGTTTGAAGTTAAATTGAGTGATGGAATTTGGCAAATGGCGTAACTCTGTTAAATGGTTCTGAACTATTTTACCGTTTGTCTGTGATGAAACTGTTAAAAAATAATCATTTAAATCGTTCAACGGAATTGATATGGGGACAATGTTAACTTGCTTTCCAAATCCAAAACATTTTATATTACGCCAGCAAATAGCAGAGGATTGCTTTCCTTCAGAAAACAATCTATTAACAAATTGGAGTCGAGCATTACGTAAATGTTGTTTTACTTGATTTCTAAGCTGGCGATATTGGGCCATGAGCCCTTGATCCCTAGTTCTTTTGACTCTGCGATGGACTGAGTCCCGCGGAGCCATTAAACCAATTATCACATCATTAATCCAAGGAACGGAGCGACTTTTACTAACCCTACGGTTGACAATTGGAGCGTGTTTGTCATATAATTTTAAAATGGTTTCATTAAGTGAATCGACCATATCATCAACTGACTCCAGGGTATGTATGGAGTGCCAAGGCGTTAAATTTACATCAGACAAAAAATTTGCTTCATTAAAATTTCTAAAATCTCTGTAAGATATGAGTTTTTCTTCGGGCTTGGGAGCTCTCGTGGCAAGGGCACAATAAATAAGGTCATGTCGAGAAATGGCAGGGACTGGAAACTGGCCATGATGAACTGAAAATTCGGGATCACTTAGAATAATAAGGTCTAGTAATGTATTAGCTTCAGCAGTGTGATGGGTTGGGTCCAGTGGTAGTATCGTCAAGTTGCAAGAGTCAAACATGTTTGTCAGTTGTCTGCAATCGTAACGTCCAGGTTTGAGTAAGTCACAGTTAAAGTCACCCATGATCACGACACGACTAGGGAGTATTTTCAAAGTCGGCCAAATGCCCCACTCCTGGAGGACGGTAACATGTCCCCAGGAGAAGAGCATCCGAACCAGACAAACGAATTTCCAAAAAAATAAATTCAGGTTTAGCAGAGTACTCACCCGGGGACTCGTACAACTGCCTGGCTTGCAAACCATCTTTCACATAAACGGCCACGCCCCCACCTGTTTTTCCTTAGCAATTGTTTCTGAAAACGGAATAGCCAGACAGTGCGATCAACCCAGGCGAAATACTCGGCTTCAACCAAGTCTCTGAAACTGCAATGATTTCAAAATTTTGAGTCCGAAATATTGCTCTGACTTTGTCAATATGTTTTGTGAGAGATTGAGCATTGATGTGAGCAGCTTTGAATTGTTTGGCAAAGGGAGCAAGGTTGTTGATAAGTATCTGGGCATTATCAGTGGGAGAGGAGTGGGCTGGGGAGGGGTCACTGAGGCAACGCTATGCAGGTCCGCTATCCTGGACCTACAGCTCGGACCCGCGGCGAGGCGCCGATGATGCGCACCGGCATAGCTGCAACAGACACATTCACACACACACACATACTTGGGACGTAATACATCGTAATTAAAATAACTAAGCTAATAAAATAAAGCAATTTCTCTATCACTACTGAGGAATAAACGCAATTAACATTCAGCTTCTTGCATAAGTTAAAATTTAAAAATGATAAAATAATAACTTGACTTGATAAGACTTTTAAAACAGAAATTTAAGATATTTTACAAAACAAACAAATTTTTTGTATTCGTACAATTCCATAAATAGTTGTTTAATAGTATTAAATATGTCTTGTTGGTGTGCTATGTCTTAACGATTCTAATTAAGCCAATTCCTAATTTTGAAACAAAAATCTTTAAATAAATTGTAATAAACGTGATAACTTCATTGTAGTTGTTAGCTTCCGGATTGCCAAATAATATTAGAAAAGGTTTAAATACCTGCTATAAAGCAATCCAATTTTGTTGTTAGCACAACTAGTTTCGGTGCAGTCTGGACTCAAACTCCGCCGGGTTAGCGTCATCTGTTTTCTTAACTGATCAGTTACCATAAATGTCTCGTATTCGTGTTTGTGTCGTGTTTAAATGTTTATTTATTTTCGTGTAAATATGACGCTCTTCGTATGAAGAAAGAAAACTGTCCTTGTGCAGCCTGATGATGGTGTCACACAGACACCGAAACTAGTTGTGCCAACAACAAAATTGGATTACTTTATAGCAGGTATTTAAACCTTTTCTAAACGTGATAAGCTAACTTTTAAGCTATATGTACCAAATACAACTGCAACTGTACTTTTTTCTGTAAAGACAACTGTTGTTATGAAAACCTGACAAAATCTGCATTTATTAGAAACTAAATTAATAAAACCAAAAACAAAACTTGACACTAAAAATGTTGCATTATGATTGGTAATTTAGATACAGAAAATAAAAATGGTAAAAATGTTAAGACTGTTAAGAGCTTACGTTACTTTATACTAGTGGGATTTAATTAATTTAGTATAGATGCAGATACTCTAAACTCTAATTCTGAGAATGCATGTCTTATCAATAATGTACCACCCATTTTCACTTTAGAGCTAATAGACATGGCCGAAGAAGAGAAGTTGGCTTCAAAAGTGCGTTCAATGTCCAGTTATTCCGACCACCGAGGTGATCAGAGGCCAGCGTACCATGGAGACCTGATACGTTGCTATGCTCATATAGCTTCAGAGCAAAACTTTGCTACCAGAGCTAACACCCTGCAGGAATATTGCCGCATCAACAGAGAGGTAAACCTATTAAACTTTGACTCTCCATAGGGGTGTTTTGATAGGCCAACGAAAATAAACTAAAGTTGTAATTAAGATTTAGTAATTGATTCAGACAAATTAGTTACAATGTACAAAACAGTAACACGTTAACAAATAATGTCATGTTGATAATTATTGATTAAAGATCCTGGTTGTGCTAATTTAATACGAAAAATTATTCTTAGCATCATCCCTACTATACCTTATAAAATCTCTTCCTTCCGCGTAAACAAAATCATCTCAACTCCATACATATACCCCTGAAGTATATGGTACACACTTTTTGTGGGTGCAGTAGAATGTAGGATATCTCATAGTAAGTAAAGCCGTGTTTATACCGTAGTTTGGAAAAAAATGTTTGGTACTTTTTGTTGCTAACACTTGTTTCTGATTCGTTTGTAACAAAAGCTTACAACAGATAGTACACTTTTCTTTGATTTTGTTGAAACAATTTATTCACCACTAGTGAACCCGTGCGGCTCAACGCGCCGCAAAATAACATACAAATTTATTTAAAAAATTCATCGTGTTATATATTAGCTCTAAATCGAAAATAAAATACAGTAATGAAGCCTTAGAAGGAAAGCTGTTCAACCACTTTCTAGCTGTATATGTCTTATATTTAGTAAATTAATAAGTTATCAAGTATTTTATAGTTATTTTTGTAAAGATTTTTAAACACATTTAATAAAACATTTAATAAAACAATATGTAGCATATTTGAAGAACATAAAATTACTGCTTGAAGAAACCCCTTTTAAAAATAAACACTAAAAAATATATTTTATTCACAAAAGTACTTCCTTGAAAACTATGTTTTTAGTTGTGAAATCACCTTCAGGGAGATTACCCTGGTCAGAATTTACCGTGAAATGTTGCGTTCACCATCAAAATATGTAGTCCTACTTAAAGCAACATATAGTTGTCCATGACTGAAAACTGGTCTGGGTAAGAGCAGTGTTACTCTTTTAAGTGATTGCCCTAGTGCTTTAGTGATTGTCATTGCAAATGACAAAGCTAAAGGAAATTGGCATCTTTCCATTTTAAATAGTAAGTTTGTTTCCTACGGGCACATATTTATCCTCGGAATCAAAATATGTCCAAACTTTTTCATTTTCTGTTCGTGCATGTATTGCGTCATGATATAGCTCTGCTCGAAGTTTTGACTGTTCCCTACAAATGAAACCGAGAACAAACAGCTGATGAAGAACACCTGATTCATGTAGATGTTGTCTGTTACAGATTGTTGATAGGTGGACAGCCATCACAGGAGAGGTGGAGCTAGTGTCTGTGGCTCCGTCAGCTGTGGTGGCCAGTTCTCAGTTGGAGAGAGAGTCTTGCTTGGTAGGTGAGAAGGCTGTGGTAGCTGAGCGTACGAGTGTCAAAGCCTCCATCCTGGGTCCTCACAGCATCATCAAGCCTCGCACCAGGGTACTCAACAGTGTCCTCATGAGCGGCAGTCAAGTTGGAGAAGGGTATGTTCCATAATGTCTACCATAGGCATATTACAAAACTATAATTCTGTCTTTTGAAAACCAAAATTACTAGGAAACTTCAAAACATGAGATATAGTAATTAATTTTTATTTTGCTTAGTTATTTAGCATTAGCTTATGGCTTATGTTTGCACGTCATCTGCAGATGGGCTTTCTATGCTCACTGCTTGGTGCGTCAGAGCCTGTCAAACCTGAGATGCTTGATGAACTGCAGAATCCTATCTATGAGCTCCTCCTGAGGAAGGTGTCTACCCCTTATCATTGTTCAAAGAGTGCTTTACCTTACCTCATTCAGAGCTTTACAGTCATACAGTAGATGATCTGCAGTCTCCTCGTTCTGCCCACATTTTTTACATGTAGTATTGTAGATCCTCAAGCGAAGCAGGTGCAGTTTCAGGAAGCCATGTCCTGTGACTATTCCTGTGATCCATCTTAGTTGCCTCCTGTCTAATCGTAGAGCATTCGAGGCGACCGTCTGGGAAGGGGAGAAGAGCTTGCTTACTCTGTGGTGTTAAAGCCTAACCCATCTTTTCCTGTGTTCCTCCTGAGCCCGTAACATATTTGACTGGCATGCATACCCACGAGAAATTCCACAGAATGGCTGTTGTTCTGTACTCTCTAAAGTATTATTTAAGTTTGTTATAGCATTTCTTTCTTCTGTCTATTACAGATGGCATTGATTTTGTTACTTATTTGAATGTTTGAAACACCATGTGATGTTGATGTACAACAATGAACTAATTTGTTAGATGAAATGAGGAGCCAAAAGAATGAAGATCCCTGTCCTTTTATTGTAATTTAAATGTAAAATTCTGAAAAAGGACTCTAAAGTTTATTTGTAAGAAAAAACTATTTGTTAATTGTATCTCCCCGTTCTTGTAATTTGTGTCAAAACGTATCAAAACTAGGAATTTCCACCTGCCTTTTCCTCTTGGGTCTGTTGACATACCCGTGAGATTTCCTGTACGCAGCTTTAGAAAGCCAAGTACCCTCGGCCTCCTTCCTCTCCCTCACCTGTGTCCTCCACACACTGGAAGACCTGGCTGTCGACTTTCCTGCTCTGGAACAGATGCACTGTCATGGGTCTTCATGCTTGAATCCCACGTTGCCGCCTATGAGACAGAGCCCAGGGTTATGTCAGCACAAGTGCTTGAATCAGCGGCACAATCCACCACAGCCCTGTGCGCTTCTTCAAGCATGAGCAAGTCATTATTGGTTGGAGATCTAGCTGTAAGGGAGCTCCTGGCAAAAGCCTCTTTGCCCCTCACTGCCCTCCCCAGTTCTGGTAATTTGCCCTCCCCAGAATCCATGGGCAAGCCCTCTATGATGGAGGGGTGGGATTATGCCGAGGCGCTGACCCATCTGGGGTAGTGTCCGTAGTTTTACTGTCAGACATCATTTCCTGCTCCTAAACACACCAGTTAGCAGTTTGATGGCAGTGTTTCCCATACACTCTGCCCATCAATACCTTCTCCAGCCCCACTGCACAAATACTAGAACTGGAGGGCTGTGCAGGAGCTTTTCCTTGATCCATTCACCCCGCCTGCTGCTCAATGACACTGGGCCTGAACCACCATATAGCCTGAACACCAGTCCATCACCCCGGCCCCAGGTTCATATTATTGTGGCTGCTCCTTGACTCCAGGGCAGAAATTCAAACTGCCAGCATAGATCCGCTGCCTTTAGTAACAGTGGCACCCCGAGTAGGCTGGACACAGTACAGATTAACTAACTCACAGCGGTCTTGAGGAAAGGGTTAGGGCCCAAATCCCCCTGAGGGGCTTATGCTCGCCACCTTGTTATTTCTTATTATTTACCTTTTATTATACTGTAAAGCATTTAATATGCGGTATACAATTGAAAGAGCTATACACCATTTTATAAAATAATTTTAGAAAATATTGATGAATATTGATGAAAATATGATGGAAAAGGTCCTTTGATTTTACTGATTCAAATGGTATTTTGTTGGTTTTGATTTAAAACAATTCTTTACATTTTTCTATTGAAGAATCGGTCAAAAAGCCTGCTGTCAAACTGGCGGCTTCCATTATACCATAAGGGATTGATCCTTAGAAAATTGATCTAATTTTCAGAAGCTATTTGCAGATGCAATTTGATATGGGCAGAAGGCTGCAGATAGTAACAAAGATACAAGAAGTAACTTTAAATTAAAAGCATTGAAAGTTAAATCAAAGTCATTCATTTTAGGGAAGGATTCTAAGAATAATTTTTACATCTAAACTGAAAATATCTTAACTAAACTTAGATGATGGGTGTTGTTAGATTATTACATAGTTTTAACTAAAGGTTGTGTTGGTTGGTTGTCACAGGTGTGTTATAGTCAACTGTGTGCTTTGTGCTGATGCAGTGGTGGAAGACAGTTGTGATCTCAAGGACTGTCTGGTGGGAAGTCACATAGTTTCTGCTGGAGGTGAGATCACTTAGTATTCAGAGGAAATATTATTTAAATAACCATAAGAACACATAAAGGAAGGAAGAACAGAAATAATACCACAAACTCACATCCCTTGGAGGCTGCTTCATATTCAGTAAATTATAAAGTTTATTGTGTTGTGTTATGAGCTTTGTGTAATGCTTTGAACTCCCTTTCTTAGATGAGTTAGTTGAGTATCTGCTTCTTCTTCTTCATATAATTTCCAAGTGTTCCAAAACCAACCTCAAAATAATCTTATGATACCGGTAGTTCAAATTTTCAATTAGTATGGCTGACTTAAAACTGCTTTACTGAATGGTTCATAATGAAGAGGTTGCCTGTTTGATTCTGAACAAAAATAAGGGTCATTGATTATTTAACAACCATCTATATATTAATTACGTAAGCCGATTCTTTGCGTCAAAATTGTGGGCGACTGGGAAGTCGTAGAACGACGGGAGAGGGCTCAAATTAAAGGTCCCGTGACGGTGGGAAAAATAGTGAAATTCCCAAAATCTTAACACAAAATTAGATATAACGTAAAATGTTCTCCATAAAAATAGCATTAGAAGCCATTTACTGCTGATTTTTGTTTTCTTCAATACAGCTGATCGTGATTTATCATTAAGCAAGTAAGCTTACATTTGGATTACTCATTTGTCAGTCAATTCTGCAATGTAATGTATACTATGTAAAACCAACTATATAAAGGGATAACGTTACCCATAATAATCAAGACTTTTTAGTTATGTCAAAGTTGAAGTTGAAATAAATAATTGTTTTCAAGATTAAAGAAACAATTCAAGATTAAAAGAAGATCTTCTTTGTTTTTATTTCAAAACATATGTTAAAGATTTATTCAACACTTTTTTGTAAATTCACTAACATTTATATTTGAGATTTATTGTAGTGTTGAATCAATATTTTGTATGAAGTGGAATAACCTCAACGGTTACTCTTAGAAAACAATTTGGGAATAAAGATGAAGTAGGTTCGTACAGGTATTTGTTCATTAAGTACTTAAGTACTTTGTTAATTGCTCCAAGCAAAAAAGGTTCAAATAATATAGCCTAGAATGCACGGTAGAAAAGAAAGCACCTACCTATATACAGGGTGTCCATAAAAAACGTTTCAGGACTTTGGGAAATGAATCCCCATACTAAAAGGAAGAAAAAAGTTTATGGGAAGGTATGTCCGAAAATGCATATTAACCCAGATATCCGCCATTTTGTTTTTTATACAAAAATATTTTTATCTGTGAAGTTTTTTATTCGACGATTATGAAATTTGGTATACATGTTAATATACACAAGACCTATAATAGAAAAAATAATAAAGTTGTTCCGATTGTAAATTTCAAAATGGCGGCCGTTTGAATTTTTCTAACTTAAATAACTCAAAAACGGCTAATTCTATGAAAAAATGTCAAGAATACTTTTTTTAGCATTTTTAATTTCCTATCAAACGATACCAAGATCAAAAAGATCGGACAAAAGATAACTGAAATATAACGTTTTTTGTGTAAAAATAAGGCAAAGTTAGTAGAGGAACCCTTAATTTTTGCCTTATTTTTACACAAAAAACGTTATATTTCAGTTATCTTTTGTCCGATCTTTTTGATCTTGGTATCGTTTGATAGGAAATTAAAAATGCTAAAAAAAAGTATTCTTGACGTTTTTTCATAAAATTAGCCGTTTTTGAGTTATTTAAGTTAGAAAAATTCAAACGGCCGCCATTTTGAAATTTACAATCGGAACAACTTTATTATTTTTTCTATTATAGGTCTTGTGTATATTAACATGTATACCAAATTTCATAATCGTCGAATAAAAAACTTCACAGATAAAAATATTTTTGTATAAAAAACAAAATGGCGGATATCTGGGTTAATATGCATTTTCGGACATACCTTCCCATAAACTTTTTTCTTCCTTTTAGTATGGGGATTCATTTCCCAAAGTCCTGAAACGTTTTTTATGGACACCCTGTATAACAGTAGAACATAGAGGTAATTTCCGTTTCTTAAAACTAACAAAAAGTATTTATGTCGTGATTAGTTTCGATAACTGGGTAATGGAACACTAACCAGTCGCAAAATAGTTAGTAATCAAACGTTGATTAGGCCCTTTTTTGTAGAATATGTAAATCAATCGCACCACCACATATACTTACACTTGGCTAATAATAGTGGTTTTTTTAATGTTCATCAGAAACAAATTTAGGGTTAAGTTCTGTCAATGGGATGCCTAAACTTAAGACTAATTTTGTTAAACCTTTACAAAATGAGCATAGACTTAAGAAATAATAACTGGGTAGGGTAGGGATGCTAATTTAGCGGATTTGACCAAGAACTAAGTTTAAATATCAACACACCATTTTTTGCCTTTTCTTATTTGACGAAGACAATTTCCAATACTGTATTTCAATCGTTGAAGCCTTTTTATCAGCATTAACTAAAAAACCAAAGCTACCTTAATAAACCAATATTTATTCTTTAGCAGTTAAGCCTCTGGAATCATTAAAATTCTTGATTGAAAATAACATCAACAAAAGCAAACAAAGACAAATAACTGTTTTTTTAACACAAAATATATGTTGTACTGGGATATCTATCCTGACACATATTACTGAGTTTGTTTAAATATTACAATAATTTCTTTTCCATTTGAGCTTTTTAGGGACTTATGTCCCTACAAGCCACTAGTTGATTTTTAACTTTATAGTTAAAATGACCAATGACAAATGGTCATTGGGTTTTAATAAATAATGTTTGATCATTGGGTCCTTGCTTAAAGATAGCTGACTGTAGTAACGTAGCTACACAGTTAATCTCCTCTTAATTTTATGCACAGTCTGCATCTTAATTAAGTGATACTGTAAACAGTGCAAGAGTGCAAATGAACTTGTGATTCTTTAAATCTTTTTATTTTTGGTTTTCAATCATTATCACACTTCCTAATAGATTAGCATTCAATTGATTTTGAGGCAAGCCATGTCACTCAATTTTATTTAATTGCATTATAAAGTTCAGTGTTTCTTCTTTAGATTTTAACCACTTGCCAGTTAGTACTAGTAGTGCAGTTTGGCATTGTGCGTGATCGTTTACTGTATCTACTATACAGTACTATACCTATTGTTTATTAGGTACTAGCTGTGTGCCCGTTCTACGCACGGGGATCTTATAGTAGTCATTTGAATGTGACAATAATCACACATGTTGGGTTTTTGGACATTTGTAATTTTATTTCTTAAGTAGGTAGGCCATGTATTCTATGGAAAAGTACGGGTATCAAGGATCGTCGTCGAAAAGGTTGTTATGAATAAATAGGTAGGCGTACGTACCCAAGAGATGGGCTACGGGCCTATTGGCTGTATGGTCCAGCGATTGCATCACACGGTGAGTAGAAACAGAAAGTGACACATTGGAAAAGCGAGTTTAGCATCATCCGTATACCTCTGTTACAATCACCCACTGCAGTTGTGATTTTTTACTTTACACTTTATACAATCACCATTGAAGCGCCGTCAATGAGTGGAAACCTTGTTTGTAAGCTATTGGCGACAATCATTAAGTATCCCAGCCCTATACAACACTGATTCAAGGTCTTCTTTCTGGTTATCAAAACTCAAGAACAGTTTTATACACAAAGAATTTCTGGTTCCTGACCTGGATGATGCCTAGTTATTTAATTTTATTTACGGTTACACTATAATATTGCACTTGCGATTAATTAAATCCGTTATGTAAGAAAAACGTTTTTAATTTCACTTGGTTGGGATTTGCTTTCAAAACGTGATCGGAAATGGTTGCGGTATTTGTAAACAACATTTGTAAACATATCAGTGACAGCTAGAAAAAATAATCTTGATCCGAACAGCTGTTCGTTATTTCATAAATAAATGATTATGTGATAAAAATTGAACGAAAATTTGACAAAAATCGCACAAAACGTCATTTTTTAACGTCCGTAATTTTATTTACAAAGAAGTGAGGCCATATTTTAATGGCTAAAGACACTCTTGCCAATCCATTGAATACATTAATATGACTTGGATCTTGATAGGTACTCTCGTTTTCATGGAGAAGATTGCGTAAAATGCCATCTTGAGTGTTACAGACAGACAGACAGACAGAAATATAGATAAGACTTGTTTCTGCTTCTTTAATGTATAAAAAGTAAAAATAGCCTAAAAATATATAATTCTGAGCAATGTACAGACAAAACTCTAATTTTATTTATATAGATGGTAATTAATGTAATGTGATTAGTTTAATATCTTAAAGTATACACATGCTAATTTTGAAGAATTGTTTAATCTATATAAAAGGCAAAGCCCTCACTGACTCACTCATCACTAATTCTCTCCCACTTCCCATTTACCTAGGAGGCTGAAATTCGGTACACCGATTCTTTGGGCATTAAATAGGAAAACTAAGTAGTTTTTATTCTGATCGGGCTTTCGGGCTCCGCCCCAGTGGATCTGGTGTTTCCCATGTTAACCTTATGATTTTTACTAAATTGAAATTTTACCTTTGTCATCCAGCTCCTGATTTATTCAACTTGTTACGGCCGTTTCAGCATCACTGTGCCATCGTCGGACTGTTCAGCCAAAAGGCGTCGTTAAAACACAAAAACATATACGCGAAACTCACACATATTTGTCAAAACGGGGTATATGATTTTTCATATTTAAAAGGAATTAATGAATCTTAAGAGCTGTTTTAATTAAACAAGTTGGTTCTGTTCTATGATGTTCAATAGCATTGTTAAATAGTTTTGTTATAGTATAATATTTTAAGCTGAATGAATATTTAGTATGCAATGGAACAATGATTCAGTCTAATTTAATAATAATTTGGTCAGCTGTTTTATTTTTGGTGTTATAAATAAATGTAATAAAAAAAGAACAGAAATTTTATTCATCAGATTTTATTAAAATTACCTAACATTTGGTGCCGAAAACCCGTCGAATCATGTCAAATAAAGAACCATTATCTCGTATGACTACAAGATCCTGTACAAAAAGAGAAGAGAAAAAGGACAGTGCAGAAGTTGAAAAAGTTTGCCTTGATGTCTCTGCAAAAAGTGCACTATCCTTTCCTTCTTCTGATAGAAGATCCAATAAAAGTAAAAGTAGCAGCAGGAGGAACAGAGAAGTCGCTGATGTTATGAATGAACTCATTAAGATTCAGGAAGAGGAAACAGCTATCACAATAGCACGTGCAGAAGCTAATGCAGAAGCAAAAAGAGAAGAAGCTAGAGTAAAGGAAGAAGCTAAAAGAAAGGAGTTAGAATTGAAGAAAAGACTGATGGAAGAAAGACTATCACTAATCAATTCTAGATCGTCCTCAAGAGGTAGTAGCACTTCCAGGCGTTCTCTCGTGTCAATTGATCAACCTATACCAACGAAAGAAGCTGTTACCTTTTGGATGCAAGGTATTGAAAATGAAATGATTCCTGATGATCAAGCACAGAATTACAACACTGTGAGGGTAAGGGATGAGCCGGCTGATGACCATCTAGATGATCAGCCAAAGCCTAGGGTCAACAGGTCGGTGAGTACATCCAAAATACCTAATATGAACGCTCAAGATGAACAGTTTAAGCCTTGGGCAAATGAACCAGCAAGTTTATGGACAAGGTATGAACCGACTGATGACCATCTAGATGATCAGCCAAAGCCTAGGGTCAACAGGTCGGTGAGTACATCCAAAATACCTAATATGAACGCCCAAGATGAACAGTTTAGGCCTTGGGAAAATGAACCATCAAGGTATGAGCCGGCTGATGACCATCTAGATGATCAGTCAAAGCCTAGGGTCAAAAAGTCGGTGAGTACATTCAAAATTCCATATAGTAATGCCCAAGATGAACAGTTTACGCCTTGGGCAAATGAACCATCAAGGGATGAGCCGATTGATGACCATCTAGATGATCAGTCAAAGCCTAGGGTACAAAAATTGGTGACATCCGACATACCTAATGCTAACGCTCAAGATGAACAGTTTAGGCCTTGGGCAAATCAACCAGCAAGTAATTCCAAAATAAAATTGTTTCAAAACCCCTTTCCAGACCTATTTGAGCGGTTTGGTGTAAGGCCTCGAGATGTTAAATATGAAGAGCCTCGAGATGAAAATACCTTAACAAATCAGCTCAATACGGATGGGAAAAAGACCAATGCTAGGGTTTTGTGTAATCTCCCAGATTTCAGTGGAGATCTCAGTCAATGGTTAGCTTGGATTGCTGAGTTTAAACGCTCAACTGATATTAACCTCTTCACTGATCTTGAAAATCTTCAAAAGATACAAAGAACATTGAACGGTAAAGCAAAAGAAATTGTTTCAACACTTTTGATTTACTCAGAAAACGTGCCTGAGATCATAAATGTGTTAGAGCATCGCTTTGGAAGCCAAGAGGTTGTAACTAAGAGCCTAATTAAAGAAATGTTTTTGAGATTTGAAGTAAGGCACGAAGATCAAGATGCTTTAAGATTTCTGTGGCGGGGAGAAGAAAGTGGAAGAGTAGAAGAGTGGTGCATGGCATTATTGAATTTCGGAGCTGTCTGCTCATCATCTTATTCAATTTATGTCCATCAAACCAATTCTGAGAAGAATCTGGAGAATAGTCTAAGGGAGGATTACGATACAGCTCAGAGCCTGGTTGGTACAGGCAAGTGCTGTACTGCGTTAAGTCAGCAAGTGATAAAGTGGATCTTTGGTCAAGTGACTGTGTGTGACCAGATGTCTAATGCCACCAAGATTACATACCACAACTGTAGCAGGGAGAAATGTATCACTTTGGACAGAAACCTCGCTGAACCTGGCGGAATGTTATTTGAAGATGCACCTAAAAGAGGAGGATCAGTGTTTATGAAAATTTTAGAGTTCACAGAGAGTCAGAAGGCTTCGTCCCAGCTTGAGACAGAATATGCAAACATCGACCAGAAGATCTGGACAATTCATAAGGACGCTGACAAACACTACTCCCTGAACCAAAGGCTAGAGATCAGACAAGCAGACGTAGAAATGGCGAAGACCAGGATACAATTGTTCATGAGAGTTAGTGAGTGCAAGAAAAAAGAAAAGAAGTTTTCAAAAAAGGTTAAGCAGCTGGAAGCTAAAGTAAAAGATGTAAAAAAACCAAGAGAAAAAGAATTAAAATCTGCAGAACAAGAAAATAAACTATTACAGAAAAATGCAGAGGAAAGCAGAAATAAGTGGAAGGAAAAAGAGCAGGAGTTTGTAACGTCCAGGTCAGAAATTGAAGAATTGATAAAGAGCATTGAAAACGAACAGCAAGAAATCGAAAAATGTGTGGCTACCAATGAACAACTGAATGATAAAGAGCTTGAAGAACATACCGGGCAAGCAAATCAAGCTCATACAGATGTTAAGACGCTCCATAAGCAAGTAATGGATCAGAAAGATATTTTGTTAAAAGTGAACAGTGAGATTACAGTAACACAGAAAGACAAAGCAGCATTAGAGAAGGAAAGTGAAATGCTGCGGAAAATGATAGAGTTGCAGCACAAGATCACTAAACTGAAGTCAGACTCTGACAGTGCTAAGAATACGCTGAATGACTTCTTGAAAGCTTACAAATCGATTGAGACGGACAGACAGTTCTTTGGTCAGCCGGACGGAAAGTACGATTTCAAGACTAGTGAACTTCATCAAGTTCAGAAGCAACTGTCTATACTCAAGGAGACGAGGAACACAGATTCAAGAGGCATGTTGTCAAAAGGTGTTTATAGAAGCCACCTATCCTGGCAAAAGTGGCAAAGTCAGGATTGTCGACGTCCAAACTAAATAAGGGAATTTTCAGAAGACCTATACCAGCAAATATGTAAAACTTAATGTTTAAAATGTTGTGGCCCGGAGAAATGTTAAATAGTTTTGTTATAGTATAATATTTTAAGCTGAATGAATATTTAGTATGCAATGGAACAATGATTCAGTCTAATTTAATAATAATTTGGTCAGCTGTTTTATTTTTGGTGTTATAAATAAATGTAATAAAAAAAGAACAGAAATTTTATTCATCAGATTTTATTAAAATTACCTAACAAGCATTAAAGTTACAAGGATTACCAACAGGGTGCAGCACTATTATTTTCTTTTAATCTATGACAACAGCTAATTTGCAACCAAAAGGTGAGTGAGTGTAGCGAACGAACTTCAACTTGGAGGCGAGTTAGCGTAACGAACGAGCTAACCTGAATTTTACTATAATTTTTGGGATTCATTGTATTGTATTGCATCCAGGTTTCATTGTATTGTAGAATTTTGAGCAAATAACCTACTATGTAAGTTTACTGGAAGTTTTACTCTTTTTTAAATGTTGCTAGTTCTATTTGTTGTTCTGCAGTTTTAATTTTGTTATGATTTTTTTCATTTCCAGAAAAACATTCCAATGAAGTGCTGACAGATGACCATCTTATTGAAATTGTTTGAAGTGAGCTGCTTTTATTAATTTGTATGTAAATAAAGATTTCTATCCATTTGTTACAAGTTCACTTATTGTAGAACATTCCAAAATTAAACTGCTATTAGTTTTAAGTATCTTCTAAAATGTATGTAAATGTATGTAATCGGCATTCCCGCTAAGCTTTTTTCCAAAATCCTACAAATTAATATAAGCAACGTGTGTTTTTCTGGGATGCAATGGTGAGCTCACTGAGAAATTTACAACTACACCACTGTATTATACAAGACACAGAGCTAGGGTTTAATTCACACATTTCAAACTAATTGTTGCTTGGATACTCCATTGATGTACAAATTTATGAAAGATAGTTAGGGCCTAATTAATTATATTACTTGTGTTTTGTCTATGAAATTGTTCTAACTTATGGTTCACATGTGAATAATGACAGATCTTAAACAGATTTCAAGATGTGTAAAAAATTGTTATAAATTGTATGAAGCCCAATGTGACTGCTCAAACGGAAACTGTTACTTAAACAAAATTTGTTGTTGCCATGAAGTAGATAAATCTCCCAATAGGAAAAAAGAAGATAAAAATAAAGATGGATCCAAGATATGCACAATATGCTGTTCTGTAAAGAAAGCAGTCAATAACACAAATAGCACAAGACAAAAATGTGTATGCTTTAATATGAGAGAATCCAATGAAAAAGATTTGTGCAAAGTGTGTTTTTGTATACTTAAAGACTGTATTTGCAAAGACAATAAAAGTAAAAGTGTTTCGGAAACTCTGAGACCAAGAAAATTGTGTGAAGATTTACCATTGTATGATGAAAACTCTCATTTGCTCGGTTATATCAAGAAAGGATCTATAATTGATGAACCATTTTGTGGTAAAAGTTGGGACAGTGAGCTTCAGGCAAGGCTAAGATAATATATTTACTTATTTTAAGTACATTTAAGACTCAAATTAAAAGTGAAGGATCAAACAACCATGTGTTGTTGAACCTTTCAGTTTTGTCTTTGACTAAAGTATCAGAACAAAACACTACCACTTTAAGCCCTAAAATCTGATATGTTGGCCATCTAGAGTAACATACGCAAGCCTTCACTTTTACAGCTACGGAAGTACAACTCAACAAACTTTAGAACTACAACGGTATGATTAGGTTTTGGATTGACCAGTCTATGGTGTTGTCTTCCTGGCCAGGAGACTGCACTGTTGTAGATCAAGTGTTCAAATATTTTGTCACAGTCAGAGTATGGTGGGAGAAGTTCTTTATGAGTTGCATATCAGAGCAGGTATTTGAGAACCTTTTAGTTTTTGCTAACCCTTACTGTGTGTGTCTAGTCTACCAAACACTTCAGTGCATAGTAGTTGACATTTTGTTTTCATGTAATGTGTTGTCCTAAATGAGACATGAGGCATTAAATCAAATCAATGAATAATGTTTGGTACTTAAATAGTTTAGGACATTAATTTACAATGTAACCAAATTGCAAAAAAATACTACTTTTTTTAGATCTCTTCTAACCCAGGCCCAGGAGGATGGCCTAAGTCACGCAATGGTGTATCTGAGCAACAGCAGATGTGTATGGCCAGTTGTCGCTATGCGGAAGGTGTGCGTAGAGAGAGCCGATTATTAGCTACAAGTGTGCCTCGGTGGACCACTAGGTCTGCCTTCGACCATGCAACGGTGCCACCTCGACAAAAATCGCCTACTATGCGCCAAGTTAAGAAAAAAACATGTGCCTGTGGAAATTAAATACTTTTAATCAACCCATCCGTCGACTTGATCAATATCATATTGTAAAATTACCTCTGCCGCAGCAAACTTGCAGACCAAGTCATTCCTATTTACCTGGTTACATGTTTACTAAAATATTCCCTTTTATTTTTGATTTAAATCCATATATATTTTATATAATTTGAAACTGTTTTTCTTTGTCACAGCTAATTTGAGAGAACGGCTGGGCGTAGAAACTTGTTAGGGGTGTCTAAAGAATGGTCTTGGTCTGTAGATGAGCATCAAAGGAGAAAAAGAGTAAATTACCTTGGGGCTCTCCCCCAATGGCCTTTAAAATTCCCATCCCATGTAATTCTTATGGAGGAAAAAACATAGTTTTTATCACAGCTAATTTGAGAGAACGGCTGGGCGTCGAAACTTGGTAGGGGTCTCTAAAGAAAGGTCTTGGTCTGTAGATGAACCATCAAAAGAGTAACGAGGTAAATTTCCTTGTGGCTCTGCCCCATTGGTCTTTAAAGTTCCCTCCCCAGATTTGTTTACATTATGACCATATGGATAATTTTACACTACTTTTTATTGAAACCGCTGATAAGATTTTATAAGAATTTACTGAATCCGTCAAAGTAATATATTTACATAGTTGGAAACATAATAATTTGCATTATTACAATATTTTGTATTGTGTAAGTTACTAAGTTGTTGTGCAGTTTACAGTTTTTATTTAATTTACCCTGTTAGGAAACATTTCTCTATACAGACCAATAACAAAGAGGTTAACAAGGCTTGATGATGAATATTCCCAACAAGAAAGGCAAGAACATTTAAGGTAATTATGAACCTAGGCTAATAATTGGATTTTGACAAACCTTTGGACTCTTCAGCTGAATTAGGCGATCCTAGGCATTCTTTTCCTCTGGCACTATTGGGGCAAATGCCATTTTGACCCCGAAATTTGTTTTAAGGTTGTCAAACACGTCAACAACGGGATGACCAAAAAGCTATTATTTATTATTTTGTTAACTTTATGTTCATTTCAGTAGGTTATGTGGGTATTTTACCTACCGGTACGTAAGTGTTAAATTGACAATAACAGTTAATCAAACTGAACCAAACCTAACCTAAAAATTCAAGGATATATCCTAACCTAACCAAACATCTTGTACGTTGACAAGTTCCTTTGATTTCTTAAAAGCCATGTAGAAGGTGTCGTTTGTTATACAAATTCGTGACTGCATTAAGTCCTTTGAAATTAGGTTGGATTAGGTAAAATTAATCTTCAAAATCTAAACTAACTTCAAACCCCTTAATACAACCCGAATTTGCATATCGATCGATCTATTTTACTCACATGCCTAAATATGGCAAACTAAAACGGTAATCTCGGGATGAAAACCACATTTCCCCCAAAAGTTCCTAAGATCGCCTAATTTAGCTAAAGAATGCAGAATATTGTAAACATTGCTTGAGTAGCATAAATTTATGAATACCAAATTTAATTTAAAGCCAATCAAAGAAACTCAGAACATCCAGCCTTCAACCGTCTATGTCAAGGCAGCCAACTGAGATAGACATGCATTTGAATTTGGATTGTGGCATTTCGGTTATTACTTTTGAGCTAACAGATGCCCACGACGAAGAAGATGTTTATTGTGTTCCAATCTTAAATAATAACCATGCCTCAAACTGCAAGTACGTTGACACGTTGCAAAAAATCCTTACTGGAAAACGAGAGCGATTCAGTAAGCTTCACTTTTTTTATAGTATGAATGCTACAGTAAGATGAATTGGCGTTATTTAAACATAAAAGTAACCTAGTAAGCTTAATTTTAATACTTTAAACTGAAATGGGGACCACAGGAAGGTAGGTATTTTAAGCCAAGGATGAGTGGTGCGATCTTGTAGTCTTATTAGATGAATTAGCGTAAGCCTTGAAAGTAACCGTCAATTTCGACGGGTTTCACCAAGTATACATGAATTTGAACGGATGGTGTTTTTGGCCTCTATGGGGACATCAAAACAAAAAAGTAAATCTATTCCAAGTCTAGGTCTTACCACGAGAACTTTGGTGATAGCTTATTCCCGGGTCTGACTTAGGGGAGGTACGATTGAGGCATTAGTTCAAAATTCCTCCGTGAACAGCGCTGTAGTAGAGAGCACTTTGGCAATGAAGCACTAATCGCTAAATAGTTCTGTTCACAAAATAAAATTATAAATGCCTCAAATTCAATTTTATTATTTGTTAATTATAAAATTAAACTATCATAACCTAACCGAACTAACCAAACTTGCTGATAATGAAATAATATAACAAAAGTTAAGTAATAGAAAAAATAATTATGTTAAAAAAAAACTAGAGATTGCTCAATTAAAATTTTATAATGACTTAATAATAAAATTAAACCGTCATAACCGAACCAAACAAACCAAACTTGCTGATAATGAAAAAATCTTGGACAAAAAGTTACTGCTGCCGGCGGGATTCGAACTCGGGACCTTCAGCATATCAGTTTGGCACGCTAGCCACTAGACCACCGAGGCCGATGGCTTCAGGTGGTATTGTTACGCTAATGGCGTTCCCTCAGCTAATAAGAAGCCCACAGCTGTCATCGTAACCTCTTCTATACCTCCCCTGAGTAAATACCCTTATTCCCTATATGGGAAATTTGCTAAAAGTTTTAGTTAGTTTTGATTTAATTAATTTTTATAGGCTATGATAAATAATGTTATTTTTGTTAAGACAAATGTTTTAAAGGGGTTTCTTTGAATAATCTGATAATCCTGTTACACCATTAACAAATGTATCCTTACTTAGACTTGAGTTGTGTGGTGCACACATGGTTTCCAAGCTTTTGGATTTTGCTTGTTCTCAGTTATTAAATAATTTAAAAATCAAACAGGTTTTTGCATGTGAGATTCTACAATAGTATTGTCTTGGATCACCCCGGCATATAGACCCAAAACTCAAGTTGCAAAAAGAGTAGCTCAAATTCAAGAAGCTACCACTCCCATAATCTGGTCACATATTGCTTCTCATCAAAATCCTGCAGATCTAGAGGATTACTTGAACCCTAGCTAGTCCATCACAACCTTTGGTGGACGGGATCCTTGTGGCTCAACACTCCACAAAGTCAATGGCCTTAATCTTCTTTCTCAGTGCCTTCAACTGATTCTTTACCGTATAACTTGAGCAAAATTGATCCGATTTTGATGAAATTTGGTACAAACGTGTAAACCTACATTTATTCAAACGAGTTCGCAAACCAGCATAATCGGACCATGGGATCAGGGGTTTATGGGGGGTTTTATGGGGTAAAAATGGGTTTTTCTCATTTTTGACCCTAAAAACTTTAAATTTCTAAATTTCTCTCTAGACCATTTTGAAGAGCTTAAAAAAACAAATAATTTAGTATATTGAAGTTTTTTTTAATGTTCATTGACTACGGAGAAAATTAAAGAAATTGTAAATTTAAAATTCCCATGTTATTCTTATGGAGAATAAATAAACTGTTCTAGTTTGCTTGTTTATGGATATATTTCAATCAAATTTGGCAATTTGGCTTATTTCATACTAAGCTATCAATATTTCAATTGAAAAAACACACCTCAACATCTTTCCCGTAGCAGCAAACCTAACTACTCACTAAAATTAATGTTATTTAAATAGGAAATAAATCTGAAAATTTATAGGGAATATTTTAGTAGAAATCGAGCCTGGTGAATGGAAATTCGCTTAGTATGCAGGTTTGCTTCGACGGGGGTATTAAGGTTCTATCATTGCTGTTGATCTAAAACTTTAACGTAAAAAATGTGATACGATCAGCAGTTGTCATCAGAAATCACACCCAATAATAAACTTACCGAACCTTCCTCAAAAGAACTGGATAAAGCCAAGACTCATAATTAGCATGATTTTGCTTGTACAACAGGAAACCTTCTCTTTTGATATTGTTACTCTTCAAAATAAGAAGCTTACTTTAAGTCGGCTACAGAAGCTGCCACCATTTATTTATTCATCTGGTCTCATACGCCTTGGAGAAAGATTTAAAAAGCTCAATGTCTAACATCCGATATTACTACCAGACTTATTTTGTTACTAGGCTTTTATAATAGAACACCATCAAATTTCATATTTACACTGTAGTCCACTGCAACTTGTCACTCTTGAGTCAGAAGTATTGGATACTATCAGCTCATAGTGCTATTAATCGGGAATATAAGCTATCATAATCACAAATTTCAGCCCAATCCAACCAGTAGTTAATGCGTGATTGAACTTCAAACCAACAAACACATAAACTTTCATATTTATAATATTTGTATGATGTTCTAGAGGGTTCAGGGACAAATATATATATATATATATATATATATATATAGAGAGAGAGAGAGAGAGAGGCCTGTAACAATTTGAACAAATAATGTTGACTTTGAGGCCCTAAAACAAAGAGTACAGTAATCCAGATCAGAGTCTAACGTCAAATACTATGTTAAGTTAATTGGTACTTTTACTGTGCAAATACCTTTGGTTTGTAAGAAAATCCACTAAACTGAACGGCACACAAGGAAATTAGGCACACATTTTTAACAAGAATATTGTTTACTTTGTAAAGTATAAAAGTTAAAAAGCTTTGTTATGATGATGAGATCAAGATTGACTAGATTGTGCAGTAAGGCTTATTGACTTAGTAGGCAGTTATGAGAAGCTGTCTGAAACATAACAAAATATTATATTTAATAAGGTAATGAATCATATTAACTTAACCAGACAAAGGATTACCATTGACTATACTTATTGACTTATTATACATACATGATTACTTATTGAATGTAAATTTTAAAAGTACAGTACTATACAATATTACTCTTAATATTAAAAATACCACCCCTGCCGCAGCAAACCTGCCGTCTAAGCGAATTTCCATTTGCCTGAATTGATTTTCAATTAATCTATTTAAATAACATTAGGTTTAACGAGTACCTAGGTTTGCTGCTACAAGGAAACTAATACAGTGTGTTTTTAAGTAAAATAAATATAGCTTAGTATAGAATCAATAAATTTGCCAAGTTTGATCAAAATATATCCATTAACAAACAAAATACAACATTTTACAACATTCTCCATAAGAATAACATGGGAATTTTAAATTTACAATTTTTTATTTTTCTCCGTAACCAATTACAAAAAAACTTTGATATACTGAATCATTGGCTCTTTAAGAAGGTCTAGAGAGAAATTGGGAAATTTTATGTTTTGAGGGTCAAAAATGAGAAAAACCAATTTTTACCCCATAAAACCCGGTTCCCATTGTCCGATCATGCTGGTTCGCAAACTCATTTAATTTTATCCTGCCTTACACCTTCAAACCAAATTTTATCAAAATCGGACAAAAATTACTCAAGTTATCGAGTTCACGGACACATATATAAATCTATATATATTTAATATATACGAATGGTGTTTTTGGCCTCAGCGGACATCAAAATGAAAAAGTAAATCGGTCCCGGGCCTAGGTCTTACCGTGCCACCTACGGTAATAGCTACTTACTACAGTCTAACCTTGATATAACGAACCTCAATATAACGAATTCCTTGATATAACGAATTTTTTTAAATCCCCTAGAACTCTCCATAAGACACAATGTATATTTTACATCTACATAACGAACAATCCATATCAACGACCTTGATTTAACGAATTTTTCATGATCCCGGATAAAAATAAGACACCTCAATATAACGAATTTATCATTGTCAGAACCTCTACATAGCGAATTTAACCTCTACTTAACGAATTGTCTGCGTCTCTCCCTCGATACAACGAACAAAACCCCCAATATTGTTTTTGAAAAATCAGTTTCTTCATAAAATGAAATGGAAAGGTGACGTCAACGCTTGCGTAACATTCGTCTGCTCCGTTTTACACATCCCGGCCCGTCTGCTGTCATCGCTGCATTCACGCTATATGTTACAACTGAAAACTGATTTCATTCAATGAGGACTGATGACGACGTAATGTGTAGTAAGCTGTGATTGGGTGATAAGTAAATATGGTGAATTGTACAGTTTTTGGATGAAGAGAAACCTTAGAAAGATAAAAGAATAGAAGAACAAAGCAAAGAGAAAGAATAGCAACATCGTTATCTTAACATTCTTTTTACAAGTGTTTTTATTATCTTTAAGTTGGCTATGATTATACACTTGTGAAACGACTTATCTAATATTTTTATTATTTTCAGTATGATTTGTTTGAACTAAGGCAACACCAATGCTATAGTGATGATTATTACAGTATTGACATACCTCTGTCCTCTGTTGTGATTTAAAGCAGTACTGTAGCCTACCGGCCTATCATGAGCAGTAGCTTACAAAACTCTAAACTGTTTTCTTTTGTTCTTTACGTGGTTTATTGCTATAAAATACATTGTCACGATTGCGCAATATTAAAGATCCCTTCCCTTTAGTACACCGGATAATCGAGGTTCTACTTTAAAATGTAAACACTGTTCACTGTAAAGATTTTAGCATATGCTACTTTAATTGTGTTTTAATGAGGCCATTGAGGTCCAATCCCGACCTATATTGACTGATGCTGGTTCTGAACCTCGACTTAGCGAAATTCCTGCAAACCTAACCTCTATATAACGAACCTCGTTTCAACAAAATCCTTGATATAACGAATATTTAGTTCGGTCCCTTCAGATTCGTTATACCGAGGTTGGACTGTATAGGGAAATTCACTGAAATTGCCTCTGAAAAGAAATTTATACCCTACATTCCTTGCAGGTAAAATCCTACCACATTTTATCAATGTAAGTAAAAGAGAATGTTGTGGATGTAGTAGAAGAAACACTTTAACCTTACTCTAATACGAGCTCTAGGTCTAATTCACAGGGTGTCTAGTTTATTTCCATTATAAAATTCAAGACTAATTCCAGACTTTTCAAGACTAATTCCAGATTTTTCAAGACTAGTTTTTTCAACAATTAGTGGGTGTTGATACCAAAATGTATCGATTCTCGATTCTTTTAATAGCTTAAACAAATTTTCTAAATAATACTACACCAACCCCTGTCTTTGTCATAAAGTAGTATTATGATAATGTGGTGTTTTCAAGTAAAGAAATTATGCAGCAATAAAAAATTCTAACCAGCAAATTTGGTTTTTTTATCATGAAATCTTCCGCATACCGTACGTTTAGACATCATCATTGCAATCACGGCATAATCATGAACATTTCCCGCGGCCTTGTAGACATCAATGACATCATCGTCGTCTCCCGCGGTCTCGGAAACGTCATCGTCATCATCCGTGATCGCGGCAAAATCATGAACAATTCCCGCGGCTGTTTAGACATCACCTTCATCTCCCGCGGTCACGGAAACGTTATCGTCGACGTCCGCAATCACGGCAAAATCATGAACATTTCCCGCGGCCGTGTAGACATCATCGTCGTCACCCGCGGTCACGGAAACATCATCGTCGTTGTCCGCGATCGCGACAAAATCATGAACATTTCCCGCGGCCGAGCAGATACCATCGTCGTCTCCCGCTGTCACGGAAACGTCATTGTCGTCTCCCACGGTCACGGAAACGTCATCGTCATCTCCCGCGGTCACGGAAACGTCATCGTCATCTCCCGCGATCGCGACAAAATCATGAACATTTCCCGCGACCGAGCAGATATCATCGTCGTCTCCCGCGGTCACGGAAACGTCATCATCATCCGCGATCGCGGCAAAATCATGAACATTTCCCGCGGCTGTTTAGACATCACCGTCATCTCCCGCGGTCACGGAAACGTTATCGTCGACGTCCGTAATCACGGCAAAATCATGAACATTTCCCGCAGCCGTGTAGACATCATCGTCGTCTCCCGCGGTCACGGAAACATCATCGTCGTCGTCCGCGATCGCGACAAAATCATGAACATTTCCCGCGGCCGGGCAGATACCATCGTCGTCTCCCGCTGTCACGGAAACGTCATTGTCGTCTCCCACGGTCACGGAAACGTCATCGTCATCTCCCGCGATCGCGACAAAATCATGAACATTTCCCGCGACCGAGCAGATATCATCGTCGTCTCCCGCGGTCACGGAAACGTCATCATCATCCGCGATCGCGGCAAAATCATGAACATTTCCCGCGGCTGTTTAGACATCACCGTCATCTCCCGCGGTCACGGAAACGTTATCGTCGACGTCCGCAATCACGGCAAAATCATGAACATTTCCCGCAGCCGTGTAGACATCATCGTCGTCTCCCGCGGTCACGGAAACATCATCGTCGTCGTCCGCGATCGCGACAAAATCATGAACATTTCCCGCGGCCGAGCAGATATCATCGTCGTCTCCCGCGGTCACGGAAACGTCATCGTCGTCTCCCGCGGTCACGGAAACGTCATCGTCATCTCCCGCGATCACGGAAACGTCATCGTCATCTCCCGCGGTCACGTACGCGTCATCGTCGTCGTCCGCGATCGCGGCAAAATCATGAACATTTCCCGCGGCCGAGCAGATACCATCGTCGTCTCCCGCTGTCACGGAAACGTCATTGTCGTCTCCCACGGTCACGGAAACGTCATCGTCATCTCCCGCGATCGCGACAAAATCATGAACATTTCCCGCGACCGAGCAGATATCATCGTCGTCTCCCGCGGTCACGGAAACGTCATCATCATCCGCGATCGCGGCAAAATCATGAACATTTCCCGCGGCGTCGTCGTCTCCCGCGGTCACGGAAACGTCATCGTCGTCTCCCGCGGTCACGGAAACGTCATCGTCGTCTCCCGCGGTCACGGAAACGTCATCGTCGTCTCCCGCGGTCACGGAAACGTCATCGTCGTCGTCCGAGATCGTGGCAAAATCATGAAAATTTCCCGCGGCTGTTTAGACATCACCGTCATCTCCCGCGGTCACGGAAACGTTATCGTTGTCCTCCGAGATCGTGGCAAAATCATGAGAACATTTCCCTCGCCCGTGGAAACATCAACGTCATCTCCCGCGGTCACGGAAACGTCATCGTCATCTCCTGCGGTCACGGAAACGTCATCGTCATCTCCTGCGGTCACGGAAACGTCATCGTCGTCTCCCGTGGTTTCAGAAACGTCATCGTCGTCGTCCACTATCGCGGCAAAATCGTGAACATTTCCCGAGGCCTTGTAGACATCATTCGCGGTTACGTAAACCCAAGACGACGATCGCGGCAAAATCATGAAAATTCCCGACTTTGAAATCAAATTTAAGACTAAATCCCGACTTTCAAGACCATTTTTTAATTCAATACTAATTCCCGACTTTCCCGATTTTCCCGACTACTAGACACCCTGAATTCAGCTCTGTGTCTGACTTTCTAGAAATCTAAATAAAGAGTCTCTCAGTCAAGAAGAACTTTCATTGTTTTGGACAACTTTCTATCTACAGTATTCCATTCCTTTTACTAAAATATAGTTTGCTTTATCCTACAAGAGCAGGATGTAGAGTAGGTGTTCATGGTACAAGCATGACAGTTCCTGTACAAAGATTGTTGAGCGTGTTAAGCTTAAGTTTTAAATTAGGGACTTAAGGTCCATTTCCTATCCTGCGACTGCTTTAATGCAAAGTAAATGCAACAGTTTCCTATCGAGCGTCTACAGCCGCGCTACTGAAGCGACTGGAGCCGCGCGGCTGGAGCTGTCGCGACTGCACTGCTCCGTGAGCAGTTCAGTCGC